CCGCTCCAACAGCTGCACCATTGTTTTGTTTGTCGGTCGGGGAGCGGTGAGCGAGCAATTCGACGACTGCGACCACGATGACGAAAGTCACGGCCAGCGGTCATTCGGACAACCAATCTACCAACCGGTCGAACGGTCAGCGATCATTCGGACGCGTGGTGGCCGTCGCGACAACCGATTTGGTCTTGGCTTTGTGTAACGCGGTGCGCTGACCCAAATACGGACCATTTGCCATGACCGAAGAAGAAAAGTGCCAGCAGCGCTTCGGACGTGTCCACACGCGCCCGCTGTCTGTCTTCCGAGCCAAGCTTCGTTTGGTCCGTCGTCGTATGGTGCTTTGTTTGTAAGCAGTAGCCATCGTCAGCCGATCAGTCAGTCGTTTAGTTTAGCATCCACCCTTTGTGCCCTCAATGACGCTTATGTTTCATCGCGCTATGTATGCGTCGAAACCGAATGGAAATGCTAATCGTTCACTGAGTTCGTTTACCTTCGACTTATGGTAACTACTTTCAGTTCAGTTCAGTTCGTTTTTAAATAACATTATGCGTATTGTACGCAGTTTAGCGAATGATTGATGGTTTTCAACGCACGTGGTTTTTAGTGGGAATTTTTAACACTTCCCTTGCGCACACCCCTACTTTTAACACTCTATTTTCATGAATAGAATGGTACGGCTCCACGATGCCGTCGATACAAACCAGGAGTGATATAGTTTTCTGAAGACAATGTCTATAGCTAGGGGATTTTTGAGGCTTGTACTCTCCTGTTGCTTTTTAACCTTATGGTCCTCATTTATCTACCTCAAACAAATGAGAGATGAGTTAATCCTAGATTATAGATAGGTGCTTGAACAATTCATGGCTCCTGGTGCCACCAAATACAGTAGATGGTACAACAGTTTATTGCCTGTGCGTTTTGCTACAAGGATCGTTACATCATCTAGGCTAGACACAAAGATCGTTTCTTAATCATCTGTTTGTTAGCACTTTCCTGATGTAACTCGATTCTTTGCGAATGTCTTTTTCACCTGAACTAAGTCTTTGACATCTGTCGACAAGTGTTTAGCCATCTCTTTCATTGCTCCACACGGGTGATTTAAAGTGAATCGTAGGACAATGTTGAGTCTGCTTCATTTGTGATAGATGCTTGTTTTAGAGCAATTCGTCTTCCGTGTAAACAAAGCGTCCAAAAAGTAAATTGTTGTTTTGTTTAGTTTCGATTGCAAATTTAAAGTCATCTGGAAAGAGACTATTTAATTAGTCTAAAATACAAAATTCGATAATTTGCAGCAGGGCTATGAATCTTCACTGGCACATCCGCTGCTGATGTGGGGACCCAAACGTTGACCGAAGGATCGATCGTGGCCAGCTTGTCGGAAATCACTTGTCGATTAGGAATCTTTGCTTCTTTCACGCAGTTGATAGCTCCCAGTATCAAAATGTGATGAATGGAGATAGCGGACATCACAGGATTTAAGCAGACTGCAAGTTTACATGGATGTTACAGATGATGACAAACAAAAGCAACGAAAGACGATTTTTCTTTAAAATATGTCGATACCGGATTTAAACAGCGGAAGCATACAGTGTAAAGAAAGAGAAATTCATTTCTTACTTTAACCGATACTGCGGTGGTGTAAAACATGAACATCTTCAATAGGAAATACCAAAATATTGCACTGCCCCCTTGCTTCTAGTAGCTTATTTACATTAAGGGACCATTTAAACAGGCCACGGCTCCATGGTATTTAAACGCCTGCGGTCCACAGGGTACAAAACTCGCGACTCTTAATTGGGTTGTACAAAGAAATGCTCAAGCCTAAAAGCCACGATCTGTAGACGCTAACAAATTGAAAACATAGCCCCGATGCTATTTGAAATCATATCGCTGTCAATACCTAATATTTAAAATATATCGGTACCGGATTGACGATTTTGTTCACTAAATTCTGGATCATAAATTTTAACATTATGTATGGACGGCGATATCGAAAGCTCCTCTCATGGAATCTACCCCAGAACATTGGGGTTACGTTTTCGAAAAGTTGATTTGTGTCATTTTTCCATATTGTTTATGGAATTGTGACTGAAAATTGCTAGTTGATGTTTTGGAAACAACTATTTACAAATATTCTTTTGTAATTGATAATTGACTACGATCGTTTTCGCTGTAATGAAAAATCAGTGTTTGTCTCAACATTTGGAAAATCTAATGTTGACTCATTTTCCCCCACCTTCCGGCTGCATTTATGCTTGTTGTAATTATGGCTTTAGGTTGTTTGCATAAGCTGAAATTCACTGGTTTGTAATGTTTTTTCTTCGCAGTTTATTTCCACCTTTGGTATAAGACATCGGTTACTGCATCGTAGAAGAAATTGTTCCACCCCGAATGCTGACTAGAGTAGTACCGATATCAGTAATTGAAGTTGTAATAGACACAAATGTTTATTGTTTGTTTACATAAGTTCTTATGGCAGTCGGTCACTACTGTAACTGTTGCATAATGTCACCGTTTGATTTAATACTTGAATAGTGCTTTAAACGGCTAACTAAGTAATATATAGCATCAGAAGCAGCACTGGAAAAAATTTTCTGATTCTGTATATACTCTGTTTTAGACAAATTAATGGAAGTACAAAGTTGAAGATGTTAGGTCTTTTGATTGCGTAGTGGGAAGCATCAAAAACAAGAAAATAGTTTTATTTACAAAAATTCCTACGTTTCAGCCGAACCGGCATCGGCCATATCAAGATATAGAAACGAAACAAAAAACAAAACTGCTGGGTCAGTTCATGCCTGATCCGACCGATTGGCTAGATCAGTCACCAATTATGCTGTGAACAGTGCTCCACACTGCGGAAATGGCAATGGAGCAAACGGAATCGTTGCAAGTTTTATTTTTGCTGGCAGCGATATTTGGCTTCACCTTGTCCCGGTGTCGATCGACCACCGTTATTTCGCTGTTGTTAAAGTCATGACCATTCCCCATGGCATGAGCAACAAAACCACAATGATCAGCTTCACGGTACCTGATGTGTTCGATTCATCTAGTGTATAATGCTCGACAAGTCTTGCCAGTATATATTCCGTCACTATTAATGCAAGCTGTCGGATAGACCGAGTTTACACTCTCTAAGCTAGGGTGCAAAATGATTCATCGCTAAAATCTTCAATGGGTTTACTCCGCATATACGTTTTATTAAACAAAATCGCGACGTTTCCGTTCTAGCGAGCTGAATCCGTCTTCAAGGGGTCATTGTTTAACAACAGTTGCAAAAAATCAGCATCAATATATCGTTGCGTACTGCGCAGTGATCTGAAGGTGTAAATACGGTTAACGAATTGTTGATACGTATTGTCCTTCAAGCTCGCCGGTTTAAATTTAGTTCAGCCTCTGTCTTCCTCGTCAGTTGCTGTGCAGAGGGGCAAATGTTCAAATTTTCCGTTTCGTCATTAGAAGTTTGGACGTGTATAGGTTTTCAGGTTCAGGTTTTCCTCGTATTGTTTGAGTCGTGTCGAAAACGTCGCTCGTCTGTCGAATCGGCTATCTTCTCGGTTTAGACTTAAGAGCAGATTTCTTGTCACATGGTTCAAACACCCTCTGTAAAGATAAACCATCTGTCATCATAAGTAATTAGCGTTCACTTACGATCGTTGACAACTTAGCAGTCGTTGCCTGTCGGATTTAATCAATAGCAGCGGTTCAACTGATCAAATACACAGCCGCCGGTTGTCTGTCTCAACCCCGTGTAACGTCGCATTTGTCATCGTCATTTAACGTGGCAGCGTGACAGTTGACCGAGTAACCGC